TTTTTCTAGTTTTAGAAGCCTTGGAGAGGTTTTCTAACTTAACACGTAGCAAAACTTGTACGGTACAAATTAAGTAACCGGAAAATCTTCTGCTAAAACGTAACAAAATTTTTTTTTTTATCTGAGAAGGTCTTTGGAGAACTTCGGCAGGACTTGGAATTGACCCGATACATTCAAGTTTATCGATAAATTTCAATGATTTGATACATATCGATAGTTCGATGTATTTCAAGAACACTACAATTCGATAACTCAACAAAATTCGTTAACTCGACTAATTTCGATAACTGTGAAATTCGATGGCTCGATAAATTTCGATAACTCAAAAATGTAAAAACTTTGGATACCTTTATAAATTTTTACTTTTGACATCTCCACATTTTTCTAAAACTATATAAACATTTTGATAACTCGTTACACTCTGTTAAGACGATTAAATTCGATAATTTCGATAAATCGATATATCTTGAAAATTCCATAAACTTCGCTTCGTTGAACCAACCAATTTCAGTAGATCAATAATTATCGATAATTCTGTAAGTTGAAAGAACTCCATGCATTACGACACCTCGATAAATTTCGTTAAGCCTAAAATAATGATAATTCAATAAATATCGATAAAAAGATACATTTCTTTAACTTGACAAATTTCGTTAATCCCACACGTTTTTATAGCTCGATAACTATCCGTAAATTTGGACAACTAAGTTTCTGTGTCTATAAATTTCGACAACTCAGTAAACATTGATCAGTTTGAATAATTCGATACGTTGCGATAACTTAATAAGCATGGATAAATTTCGATAATCATAAACTTCGATGATTCGATAAATTTCAGTAAACTTTATGGCTGATTTTATTTCGATTCCTATCGGAAAATTTCAGCTCTGTTAACCTAATTCTTATGTATTTCTCATTGTCTCCATTTTCGCCTTTATCTCAATTTTCGTCTTTATCTGCACTTTTTCCTTTTTTTGTCATCATCGTTATCACTTGTTTCTTCATCTTCATATTTATCTTAATTTCAAAGTTTAATTTCAAATACGAAGTAAAACCTAATGCGAAACAGCTTAAATTGAGCAGGTGACAAAAACAACCATACACATATATGGAAATTTTTAAACGACGATTTTCAACCAATTCCGAAACTATAAAAACTCTCCTTATCTACAGAAAATTACCTTTCCAACGGTGTTTTTGGTTTTGAAATCAGTAACTTTACCTTGGTCTTCATCTTTGTTTTTATCTTTCACATCTTTGCTTATATCCTTTTCTTTTTCTATTCACGTAGATGAGATGAGGTGCGATGACGTGATAAGATGTGGCGTGATTTTATGTGATGTGATAGGATGTCATGTCATGTGTTGTCATATCCTCTGATGTCATGTCATATGATGTCATACCATATGATGTCATATCATGTGATACCACGTAATGTAATGCCATGTCATGTCATACGATGTCATATCATGTTATGTCAAGTCATGTGATGTCATGCCATATAATGTGATGTCATATCATATAATGTCATATCACGTGATATCGTGTGATGTGATATATTATGTGATGTAATATCATGTGATATCTCTTCATATCATGTGATAAAATGTGATGTGATGTCATATAATGTGATCACATTCCATGTTCCGATTAGTGTCTCGATAACCCTGTTGATAACTGTGTCGATAGAAATATCGGTAACAATATCCATAAACATATAGAAAAACAACGATCGTAAAATCGATTAATTTCTCGATAAATATAACAATCATCAGTATCGATTATTGTACATATCGTTAACAATATAAATGACTAAATCGATAACAAAATCAATTATTGAATCGATTATTATACCGGTAACAATATCCATTATTGTATCGATAACAATATCGATTATTATATTAATTGTTATTATCGATTACGATAGCGGATATTTAATCAATAACAGTATCGATAACAATATCGATTATTTAATCGATAGCAATATCGATAAAATATCGAGTTTTATATCGATAACAATATCGATCTTCATCCTCATCCTTTTCTTCATATTTATCTTTATTTTTGCATATTCCTCTTCACCTTTACCTTAAAGTGTTTAAATTTACTTTGATCTTCGTTTTTGCCTGTACCTCTAGGCATCTTTGTTTTTTTGTTTTTATTCTCAAATCGCTAAACCGCTGAGAACTATTTCCATGTGCATTATTCCCCTTGAATTTGACAATTTACTCCCAACCAACCAAGTGCCGCTAAAGAAGTTTCACTTCATAAATTCAAGAAATGTTCTTACCCTTTCAGTTACCCTAATTCTTATGTATCTGTCATTGTCTCCATTTTCGTCTTTATCTTCACTTTTGCCTTCTTTTTTTTTACTTCATCGTTATCATTTATTTCTTCATCGTCATATTTATCTTTATTTCAAAGCTTAATTTCAACTGTGTAGTGAAACAACAGGCGAAACATGTCAAATTGAACATGTTGCAGCAACATCTATACACAATTCGAAAATGTTTAAACGACGGCTTTAGCCGTAATTTTCAACCAATTGTGAAACCATAAAAACTCTGCTCATCTACGGAGAAATGCCTTTCCAACGGTGTTCTTGGTTTTGAAATCTTTTGAAACGGCAGCAGGCTTGTGGAAAGCTGTACAACTTTTTGAAGTAAAACTTCTTAGGCGGCGGTGTCGCATAAATGGAGAGTGAAATTTGTAAAACTGAAAACGTTACATGAGTGAGAAGGAAGATATAGGTAGTATAGGAAGGGGAAAAAACAAATAATGCGACGCTTGACGGGTACGAGTACCTATATATGTATATATGTATGTTTGAATGCACGTATGTAAGTATACATATATATCGTCGTGTAAAGTACAAAACCGCGTATCGCCATTCTGCAAAACCGCGTAACTAACGTTGGCTGCCAAAAATTGGATTTGCTGACAAAAGCTCTTGGCTCAATCCTTATCCATTCGTCCTGAAATACATATACCAGCCAGAAATGCGATTGCTTTAAAAAAAAGATAACCATTTTCAAATATGAGAGTTTTTGCGCTCTAGAAAATAATTTTAACAACTTCAGATACGCGGTTTTGCAATTTAGCTGATACGCGGTTTTGAATTTTGTTGATACGCGGTTTTGCACTTTAAACGACGATATATATGATTACACATATATGTATATATGAACGAACTCATTGCGCATTTCAGCTCTGCCGCTACCAAGCAATATATGCATCAGAGAACGTATATTTTTCGTACGTATCTTTTTTTTCACAGATGCCTAGTCCACTGAAAGTGATATGAAAAAGCTGTAACTAACTTTAGTGTCGGCTTTATTTTAACTATGCATATGCCCCATTATTTACATGTAATACGAGTATAGCAGTGAAAAATGATAATGCACAGTTTTTTTCAATATAAATAAGTTTTCGACAAAAACAACTTTGAAATAACACGTGCAGTGCAATCAATGCATTTGTACGTTTTTTGTCAATGTTTGTGAGAAAATTAACGCAGCTAGAAAACTGCAGTTTGTTGCATTGAAAATAGCGTACCTATTAACTACATTAGAATCGTTAAAAATATAAAAACCGATTTTCTTCGCTTTTAATGCCGACATCAAATCACCAAACAGTGCGCATTTGCGTTTTTTGGTCAATGTGTCGGTCTTTAAAGTGAATTTGGGGAAAAACTAAGGCAGCTAGAAAACTGTGGTTTATTGCATTGAAAATAGCGTAGCATCTACCATATGAATCGGTAAAAAAGTAAAAGTCGATTTTTTCAACTCAAATGCCGACGGCAAATCACTTGCCAATTGCATACTGCATATTTGCATAACTTTCACATTTTAGATTCACACAATTGTATCTCTCGCATACATATGGATGTACACAATATGTACATATTACATAAATTAATAATTATTTCGACTTCTATGCATGCATTTATTTTAAGTAATTAACCAATTTTAAGAACAAAAACGCAAAAAGCCATCAGCTTTTCGTTTTCTAACAAGAAAACTTTACTTTGATGAGCCAATTTCTGTTAAATTTATTTCGCTTCTGGCTAGGCTCTGTTAAAATTCGATTCTCTCTGGCTTGCCGCTCTTAAAATGCGCTTCGCCAGTTGTGTTGGTATTTGACAGTTTTCACGCTGATTCGTTCTTGGACCTTCTCTATAAATATACGTTCTCTGCTTACACGTAAAAGCATATTTAGCGCATTTAGCTCTAAATGTATATTTATCCATACAAAATTCGTCACCTAAATGCAACTCCATTAAGAATCTAAATGCTAAAAGCAACCCTGTGATCTTCCAAAATTTCGACGATTCGAACATGGTTTAATGAGAAAAAGTGGCAACATTGCTTTTTCGAGAATACAGTCGCTAGCTGCGTTTCAGTGATCGCCGATCGAGATTTCATTTATTATTTTACATTATTTGGATAAAGAAAAGTTACGCAAATTCAACATCGATATGATGCTGATAGAAATCTGGATTAATTTGTGATCAACTCTGTTTTTTTTGTTTCCTAATTAAGTCTGGAAATTATAATTGACAGCACCGACAAATGAATATATACACGAAAAATGTTCAGTTATCGTTAAAACAATTCAAGTTTTTGTATTGAATTTTCGGTTTAGAATTTATTTTTTCCTTTTCAGTAGGGGGGCACATTATCTTTTCCGTGAGAATTTATCGTAATAGATACGGATCTGAATAAGCGACTCGAACGCGCCTGTTTGTCAAAAGCATACGATTTCGAACTCGCGTAAATGTACATTTGCTAAATGCGGTAGCATGAACGCTCTTCGAAAACATATGTTCGAAAGTGCTAAATGTTGCATTTTAAATGCAGCAAAAACGCTGCATAATTTATCCTTTATGACACTAAACAGCTGACTTTCGCTTTTTATTTAAATTAAAGAGGAATACGAAAAAAAAACAATTATATTTGTGTTCGCCGCCAATTTAAATTGTCTGTCCGACAAAATTTAAGATTTTTGAAAGATGTAAGTATTATAAAAGAGAATATACACATTTTAAACTATGATTTATGCATAAATATGTTTACTATCGATTTATAATGAGTTCAACAAGCCAATGTGCAGCAAAGAGGAGCCGCGCTTCAGGCGAGCAAATTGAAAGGCTGCTGGACTACTCGTCGGAGTGCCCGGGATTAGCAGCGGGCAAATTCCAAAAGATGCACGGCAAGTCTGAGAGCGACAGGAAGTGGAGTGAGCTGGCGGAAAATCTAAATACCATCGGCGGAGCTGTGAAGACTGTCGAATAATGGAAAACAGTAAGTATATGTTTTGGAATTATTTGACGAGGAGCTGGGGAACTGTTTAGTAATTTGCCCAATGATTTCGGGCTTGTGTACCCGAACAGGTTACCCGACCCAAACAATTTTTACACACGCTTATATTGAAGGGTATACACTTTATTCTAAAAACAGTGGGCAATTAACTAAAAATTTCCCAGAATCTGCGCAACAAAATTTTTTTATACAGGTGTGGCGCGATCTGAAAAGCCGTACAAGTGTCAGGGTACGGGACAGGAAGAGGCAGCAAGCATTAACCGGCAACCGGCCGGTTAATCAAGAGCCCATAACAGAGGTTGAGAGGCGAGTTATGGCGCTCATCGGCAGCGAGTACATTGAGGGCAATGGAAGAGTTGTCGAAAATGTGCCTGTGGAAGAGGTAATATGGAGTCAGGTGATATTTTGGATTCCTCATTTCTAAAGCTTTTTATATTCCTCAATAGAATTTGCAATTGCGTTTGGAGGATGGATACGATAGTGTTGACTCCGTACTATCGACTACCACAGCAGCTGACGATGTTGAGGTGATGTGTGCAACACCCCGTATTCCTGCTAAAAGGACTCCGCCTAGGAGTCTAAAAAGGGAGCGAGAAGATGAGGAGAAAGAGAAGGAGATGCAGGCCAAGTTCCTGGAAGTGTCCAGCAAGCAAGCAGATGCTTTAAAGGTATATTCCCATTACGATTCACCTTTTTATTAAAACTAAAAAATATTTTTTATCAGACTTAATCTTAATATTGTGAGAGCGTTTGTAGAATCAATATTACCTCTTTCACACTCAGTGACCAATAATATATGTGCATAAAAGTCGAATGCATTATATCATAGTAAACTTAACCTCCAGACTGTACTAGTCTTTCTTTACGAATACAAATAAAATGAAAAAATATTATTGACTTTTGCATTTTGGTTTTTTAGCTGCTAGCTGAATGTAGTGCCGCCAATACAGAAACCAACAAATTGATGGTTGAGGCGTTTAACAGATTGGTATACGTCATTAGCTCCTGGACTTAATATTTGTATGTACACATTACATTACATTAGCATTAACTATTTTAACTTATAGTATATACACCTATAACCAACAAAATATGTTAGCGAAATTTGCTTCAGTTATTTCTATTTCACTTTAGTTTATTTAATGTTGATTTATTTTTTATAAAGTATAGCTCATTGTTTGACAAAAACCAAATGAATCCAAACTTTACACTTTGTATAAAC